TTCCAATAAGACAAAGGGGTAAAGAAGCTAGTACTACTCGATTACCACTTCATTTGGCAGTACTAGCTTAATACGCTTTTGTCTTATTAGAAGAAGCCTTTTCAGTTCTGTTTTGTGTTGTCTTGAAATATACTATTACATTATCTTACACATACTTGAGGTGACTCATAAATAACATCATTTTCTTTGTGTTCATCTGTCGCCACATGCTCCTGACTTCACAGTGCGTCATGGTTTTCCTCTGCACCGTGTGTGCGTCAGACTGAGAATAAATCCATCACAAACTCTCATTTTCATTCATGAACGTGTGGATTGACTTTGTCTCTCTCTGAATGATTGAGCAGGAGCTGAGTTTTAGGTTGAATTTGAATAAAAATGCATGATTGACTTTGGATGTAGCAGGTCTGTAGAACAGATATTTCTTTATCTATGTCTGGAATTTTGTGACACATTTGTTTGAATTACTCTTTATTTCTATGTTTTGTTCTTTTTTGACAATGATTGTTTAAAAAAATACTGCATCACTAAAGACAAATATGGTGACTACACAGTAAGTTGTTATTTTATAAGCAGTTTAAATAGAATAATTTGCTATTAAGCGCACCTTTAGCGACCAAGCTCCTATACTGCAGAATCAACTCCACGTCAAGGAAGAGGACACAAGGCCAGGCTTGAAATATTCCATGGTAGGTTAAGACTCAGGTAATACAGCTTTAACACAGATTGTCAGTCAAGCTGCACAAGGAGACTTCTGCTGTAGAATGTGGTAACTCTCTTCTTTCCTACTTTATCTGTCATCATTATAACTTCAGCTGTAGTCTGTACATTGCTATTCACCCGCTGTCCCACTGTCTGTTTTATGGTGTGATGTTGGACTCGGTCGGTCCACCAGTAACTAGCGGCTTAACCAGACACAAGGACAAACTCTACACAGACTGGCGCCCATTGAGCCATAACCTTCTTGCTGTGAGGCCGATCTCTATCCACTCGTCCACCTCAGCAAGTGGTTGCTATGATACCAATGGTTCCTTGGTGTTTACCAAACATTGAGATGGTTACAGTCTTCAGTGTTTGGAACAATGGGACGGGACATTTAATCTCTGCATCTCACGCACCTTTTATTCAGCTCCTTTAGTGATCTCCCACTGAGGACACCTGCTCTACCACAGGTCACACTTATTTGACTAAAAAGGGTGTATATTTAGATATTTTAGAGTTTTATTTACAGAATAGTTTGGTCCTGAGTTTTGAGTAATGTCTCAAAGGATGAGAACGCGGATACGAGTGGCCCACATTAGCTTCCTCCGCAGAGTGGGGAGGATTTCACTCACACTGGAGGAGCTCGGAGTAAAGTCGCTGCTTCTCCATGTCGAGAGGAGAAGGCTCGCAATCTGTTTGGGATGCCTCCTGGACGCCTCCCTGGGGAGGTGTTCCGGGAATGTCCCATCGGGAGGAGACCAGGAGAAAATCAAGGACACTCAGGATTCCCCCAGATTTTATTTTATTTTTATTAAGTATTTTGTGTTCTTTGTTCATTGCTCTGGATGCCTTAAATGCCCCCCCTCCCCAATTCCCTCCCCCACCAATATATTCTGCACTACTGTGTTGTACATAGTAATTTATGTTTTTTGGAATCTGTATCACATGTTAAATAAATAAATAAAATAAAAAGGATTCCCCCAGATGCCCCCACGACCGGGCAACAGATACAGCAGAATTCATGGATTTATGCTTTTTTTATCAGCATTTTCTAACTAACTCTATTATAAATATAAAACTATAATCTATATAAACAAGAGATATGGTCCCACCAAAAAAATGTCAAAATTATAACATCTCATTATGATCTATCAATTGAAATTAGTAAAAGATTTTTCAGTAAACACATATTGTTCCAACAGAAAGAGTCTTAAATTGTAAACTGAGCAGACCCTCACATGCTGCTCATCTTTGTAGAAAACAAATTATGTTTGCATTTAAAGCAGCACTTTGGAAAAGCAGCCTCTTTGTTCAATAGATGTTGAAAATCTGTCAATAATAAACATGGTCATGCTCTCCTCACCCTGGTCATCTTATAAAAACATGATTATAAAGCACCGTTTTTCATCGTTCATGAAAATCAGTCCATTTGAATGTCCTTGTTCACTGTTCAATGACCACTCCACTCTGTCTCCTGCGGCGGGAACATTATGTGTTTTATTATTCTGCTCTGAGGCCGGTTTGAAGGAGCTGTATGCAAATGAACCACTTTACATCTGTATTACATGTACTACACTCAAATAGAAAATGATCAGATAAAATCATTGTAGATACAGCAGCTCTAGTCATTTTTAAATGTATTTATTTATTTACCTTTATTCATCCAGAGAATCCCACTGAGTCCTGGCCTCAGACATGGCCCGTTTATGGGGGACTTTTGGACCTGTTTCTAGTGGTAGGGCCTGTGTCTATTGACTTCTTCAAACTGCAGAAATAACTCCTTATACAGCCAAATTAAAGCTGGGGTACCTTACTTCCTCCCCAAAAGCTTAGCTCACTTTTTCAGGAAGACCGTGCATTAATCAGAAATACTGCCTTCCCTGTGCTCCTCAAGAGTCCCAGCAGGAGACCAGTCCCTGTGCTCCTCAAAGTTTGACTTACTTTTATATCAAATCAAATCTGTCAAGAAGGGAACAAGAATAATAGTAATATGTTAAAGCTTGTTTCAATCTGCAGAGCTGGAATCAAACCATTAATGTCAATCAATGTGAAATCTACTCTAGGTCAGACTTAGATCATAGCTGCTCATGCCTCACATTTTGCAGGTTACATACAGTATAAGGTTCACATTTGGGGATGCAGCCCCGGAGCAGATTTTGAAACGACTATAAACAATTGTGCAACAGTCTGACCACGGTGACGCATGCAGATATGAGACATGAGAGAACCACATCCTTGGGTTTGAGAACTTTTATTTAAACTGAAATGATTGTGTTTGGTCCCCAGAGACATAGACAGAGCAGTGTCTGTCCCCTCCAGTCTCTCTCCCTTTTAAATCAGGTCAGTAAACCTGGTCTCTGCACCGGCTTCCTGTGGCTCAGAGAATTAAATAGATCTAATTAAATAGACTTTAAAGCAGCTTGTGTACAAGTGTCTTCATGTGAACCAACTCGGACTCTGAGGAGCACAGGGACTGCATGGCCTCCCCATGTTTGAAATAGGGAGGCGAGTCCGTTTGACATTTTAGATTCATGCAGCTAAAATCTGGAACAGTCTTCTTAAAAATGTGAGACAGGCTTTTGAACGGACAATGTTCAAATCCAGGTTATAACAGTTCTGTTCCGATGTGCTTCCAACTGAAGGATTTTATTGTCATTCTTTGTACTGTGATAATTATGATTTTAATGTGATTGTTTGTATCTTGTTTTCAAAGTATTTCGAGTTGGGTTAGGGTTAGGGTCTTGTTTATGAACTGAGCCATACAAATAAACGTGCCTTGCCTTGTTGTGGTGTTGAAAATGTTGCATGGAGCATTACACAATATACTCAGTCCTCTGCACAGAGAAAAACAGGACAGACATCAAACAGTTCATTCTTCTGAAGGTGTTTGTTACTTTTATCAGTATTTAAAATTAGGACAGGAACAGTGATGGGGAAGTTACTTTTAAGAAGTTACTTTGCTCGTTACTCGATACTTCTTTTAAAAAGTAACCAGTTACTTTACTTAGTTACTCTAAGTAATCCTCCGGGGCGTAATTCCCTTCTCTGACCCTCACAGTCAATTTCGGTGGCATCACTGACAGTTTTCAAATCTAGGTTAAAAACAGTTCTGTCTGGATCTGCAACTGAATGATTTTGTTTTGAAAGCACTACGGCTATTTATTTACATTTTATTTATTTTAATCTCATGTGTGATTTTAATGTTTTAAGGTTTTTAACTACTTGTGTGATTTTATATATTTTTTTAATTAATATTTCTTGTGTTCTTATTGTCTTGCACATAGGAGAAAGACAGATCCCAGCGACACTCCGCGGTGAGCAGCGCCCCCAGCCTCTTCACACACTGTGGAAAGAGATGTCGTGACTGATCCGCAGCTCCAGCAGATGCGTGGTCACAGCTGCCCGTGGTAAATCCAAGTATCGTTGCGGTGGATCAAAGAAGAAACGGCATTATGTTACTAAATTGTCGATGTTACTTTACTTTTTTAGACCTTGAACAAAGACAGGAAAAGTGAATGCTTCTGTGGGTTCTTCAGCTACGATTCAATAAACTGGTGTTCTTAGTAAAAGATGCTTTCCTATTAGTATGAAATGAACAGTTAGAGTGAAGATAGAATTCTGTTTTAACCTGGGTTTGAACATTTTTACAGTAGAAGCCTAGAAGTAGAAGAAGTCGTTGTAGAAGTCTTACATTTGTGGGAAGTCTTTCCCACATTTTAGCTTTCTCCTCATTTTTAGTCCCTGAGCACCAGCAGGAGGCCAGTCCCTGTGCTCCTGTAGTCCCTGTGCTCCTGTAGTCCCTTATTGACTACATGAGATGAGCCAGTATAAAATATAAGTCTGCCCCCTGTAGGGAAGTTTAAGTGTTACATTCTTAAAACCAGTGGATCCCAGTCACATCTGCATTGGCAGTATAAAAGATTTTAAATAAATGATGATATCCTGAGGTGAAATGAGAAAAACACAAAATTCATGACTGAAAAGAAAGTGTATTTTAATTAAATAAAAACAAATCCAGAGAAACAATAAAACACAACAATCCAGAACAAATGTCGAATATACAATGGACGGACCACAAGCGGGGAAAAGCACAGGTTATAAATTCAACCCCAAGTACATGTATAAACACTATAGACCCATGACTCCTATCTGTCCTATCTGGTGAATCGACATTTTTCTAAACTTCTGACACGACTGCTGTTGTGATTTAGGGCAATACTAAAATTGCACTGATTTAAATTGGGGGAATCTATCCATGGCAACTGCCCTCATTCTCATCATTCTAAAACATGTGTATGGCGATGAGCGAATTTGAAATCAAACAAAACATCAGCTTCTGCAAACAGGAGCAGCCACAAACGGCACGTGTGGCTTTGTGCCGTCGCTATAATATTGTTGTGGAGAGTTTGTTCACCAGAGCATTCGTGCGTCTCCAGGACCGTGTTGTAGAGACGCAGGATCCCTGGAGCTTTTCCTCACGACAACACCGCTGTCTGTCTGGGAGGAACTTTGACTTTTGGAGTTTTCGCAGCTTGTACAGCGACTTCTGTGGGTGCACATGGGAGAGAGGCGTTTGGGGTCGGAGTGAGGGAACCATCGCACAGAGAGCCGAGGTGCGTACAAACACAATGTATGGAAATCCACTTGCAACAAATGTGTTCCACTGAGTTCAAGAAGAATGATTCAGTTTAACAGATAGATAGATAGAGAGCCGAGAGATGGCGAAGTGGCAAGAGATCTGGAGTGTACTTTCCGGGGCTCACTGACTGGGGTAGTCTTGCACAGTTATTCCAATGTGGTTTTACTGCAAATGATCTGAATCTTGATCTTGAGATAGATAGGCAGACAGACAGACAGACTGACGGATGGATAGACAGACAGACAAATACATAGAAAGATAGATACTGTAGATAGATAGCTAGATAGATAGGTCGATAGATGTCCACAGACACTGTCAAATACATACAACATGGACATTGGATTAGAAAATACAAACAATATAATACAAAAAGGTAGATGATATAACAGAATGATCTTGCCCACTTCCACCTGAAGCATCTCTGCTAACTGTCTAGATAATGCGTGTAAACCCATCCTGCTCCACCCAGAGGCTACTCCACCTCTGCTGCTGTGACCTGAAGGGCTGTTACTGATTATTACTATTGTTAGCTTCTTATGATCAATTTTATTTTTTAATTTTGCTGCTACTCGACACTTGAATTTCTCCTACAGGGATCAATAAAGTATCTATCTATCTATCTATGTATCTGTTACTCCTTTGTGGTTGATTTGAGAGAGGTCTGCGGTGGGTAGATTGATTATTCTACATGCTGTGTAATAACAAACTTCACTCTTATCTCAGTATCTCAAAGCAGCTAATATTGCATCACCACTCACTCAGGGTGGATAAAAGCACTCACCTTGGCTTCCTCGTTTGCATCCCCTCCGATGTTTCTCGGTAACCTGTCTTTAAAAACACCATACTTTCCAATTCAGTGGCCTTCAAACACGCATTAGCTGCAGTGGGCTGATGCCTCGACAACAGTATGTTCTCTCTGCATTTGGACAAGACAAACAATGAGCAGGTGACAGTGATTAGTTATTCAAACAACACAGGTTTCCCATTCACTGAGCCCTGGACCTACAATATGTCTGTGTGAGCGGATCCCTCTTTCAATGTGGGCCTCCCTGAGATTTATTTAAACAAAATTCCCACTGGGATTTTGAGTAGTTCCTTGCCAATCCCGTAGGATCTAAGGACAGTGATGATCCAGGATATTTAAGGACATTTGTCTTTGCCCTCTCGATGGTCCAATGGCTTCTACGTGTTTCTTATTATTGCATTTCCTGTGTTCCAGAGAATACAACAGTTTAGAAATGAAATGATAACAAAACACAAGAGCCATTGGTTCATAGGGAGGAGGGTAACCAATGTTCATTCATGTTAGTAAATATTTCTGATGTAGAAGCACTAAATAGTTTCTCTAAATTGTTGAGATCCAGTTTGAAGGTAAAAGAGTCTAAAAACCAAGTGAGATGCCCCAAAGAGGTAAAATTCAGTTTCAAGCTTCAAGCCTACCAAATGGTTGAAGAAACCATTAAAGGGTTAAATGTTCCAGAGCATCAGTGTCCATAGACCCTCTTGCATCAGCAAGTTTAAATTACCCGGTGTATTGAGAGAGGGATCCACTCCCACGGACGGACAAACTATAGATCCATGTACAGCACAGAACTGAAGAGGCTCTCAGATTGTAAACCTGTCTCCTCTTGTTTCTAGGCCCTGCTGATATGAAACCCAAGGCCTTATCCGTCAAAGAGAGCAGTTGGACTTCAGAGGAGTGTCTATTTACGGAAGATGGATCCTCGCAGAGCAACGGATTGTGTCTCCCCAACATCTTTAGACCCAAGAAAATCAAACCTTTGTCCAGACCTCAGAACAGCCCTGTGTACCAAGTCTACTACACCGCCAGGGAACTATTCATGGAAGTCCTAGACCGAGGAGCCATTCGAGAGCTAACTAGGCGAGCTACCAGTGCCAAATCTGGATCCAACCGTCCGTCTTACAACCAAAGCAAAGACCAAAGCGTAGACTTGTCCTCAGAAGGGGAGTATGTGGATGCCGTGACGTGGTTTTCGGTTGTTTTAAAAAGCGGGATTTCTCTGGACGAGAAATGCAGTCCGGATCTGACCTTAGACGGATGGCAGGGCGTCTTAAAAAGAAACAGTTTTCAGACCAACCTATTGTCGCTTACAAGACTGGAGGACGCGACCAAGCTTGAAATCCTGTCTGCTTTCTGTCGGCGTTTATCAAGGCGATACCAGAGCTTGTACACGCCAGGACACAATTTAACCATCAAGAAATACCAGCTTTCATACCAGCAAGATTATTTGTCTTTGCATCTCGCTCTTCTCTGTGACCAAAGCACAGGTTTCATTTGCAATATGCTTCTTTATCGTCCGGAACAGATGCGAAAACAAAGTCGAAAGCCCGTGATCCAGCAAGTTGTATGCCAACTTTTACGTCCATTTTGCAATGAGGGCCGAACTGTTCAAATAAATAGTTCTGCGTGGACGGACGGGAAACTCGCAGCGGCCTTTTTGAACTTCGATCTCAACATACACTTCATTCCCTCGACAAAAACATCAGAGGATATGGCGAATTGTAGAAATTACCAAGCTAAGTGTGAGTTTGAAACACTAGCCCACCTGCAGGGCTGGACAGGACCGGCCCTCTTCAGGTTGACGGATCTAAAAGGCTCGGAGTCGGATGTGTTTCTGCCTGGCCTGTGGGTGGCGCTGCACGTGGTTTGCATCAATACGTTTGTGCTCCATACGCTGCAGAACCAGGGCTCGGTGAGGAGAGTGAAGCTGAGTGACTTCACCAGGGCTTTGAGTTCTCAGCTCGTGGTGGATCCCGTGGTGGTGCCGGTGCCTGCGCTGCCCCGGCTGCACAGCTCCTACCAGGACGGGCCGTTCACGGACGGGGCCAATCACAGGTGACAACACGTATCACAGGATGGAGCTGAGAAGTGGCCGGGGCTTAGGTTTGCGGAAGTAAAATTCACCATTTGAAATCCCCTTAGGAAATAAATGTAAAAAGTCCATTACGTCTTCTTTTATGTTTAAGGCTTTGAAGGTTTCTTCTAATAAGACAAAAGTGTAAAGAAGCTAGAACTGCTTGATTGCGTAACTAAGCAGTACTAGCTTCTTTATACTTTTGTCTTGTTAAAAGAACCTTGAAAGCCATAATTGCCATAGGAGTTAGGACAATTACAAATACAAAGATTTTGAGAACACGACGGCCGCTAACTAGCTACATGCTAACTACTGTCCATAGCGCAGTGTTGTTGGCGCTATGGTGGTGTCGGCGTAGAGAATTAAACAGTTTTAACAAAGGCACTACAATAATAACAAACACATAGGTCCATAGGGAGCAGGATGACCATTGTTAATAAATGTTGTCCATTTGTTTGATGTTGCAGTTCTGATGACACAAAACGTCGTATTCCGGTTCAGAAGATCGAGGCGCTTCCGAAGACTCAGCCTGGGGTCTGTGGTCTGGACAACTCTGGAAACTCCTGTTACCTCAATGCAATCTTCCAGTGTCTCTGCTCCACGGTGCCCCTAGTGGAGTATCTGCTGCACCACGAGACCCGGAAAGAGATCAGCAGGTTTAACTATTACTGTTGTAAAAAGTTATTGTCAATGAACTTAGATGAATAGCTTGGTAAGAGATTCAAATTTAAATGTATGTATATGTATGTAAATATATATATGCATTTAAATTTAGTAAATGTGTTATGACGTCATTTGGTATTAAATTGCTATTATCAATGTCATGACATGGTTAAAAACTCCAAAAAGTGAATTTTATATACAATAGTATGTCTCTTTACTAACTTAAGATAGAGCCCTGTGAGTCAGGAAACATTTGCCTATTTGGGCAGAGAGCTGAGAGGTGGCTGAGGAGTGCTCATCTCTTTTTCACTTATCAATCTAAGAAAGTAAAGATGCAAAAGCTGTGAATAAATGTAACTGTCTGTAAATGTCCTGGATCATTATCGCTGTCCTTATCTGCATCTGCGAGGAACGATTCCAGTGTAAATATTGGCCGTTCGGTTCACAAAAACATACAATAAAAAATAAAAACATTAATGTCTGGATAACCTTGTGTCCCCGGTTCACGTTTCGCTGCAGATGTAAGCGTGGCGTGGCAGAGGTGTTTGGTCGCCTCCTGGAGCAGATGTGGCTGGGCCGGGCGACGCGCTGTGCTCCTGTGGAGGCGCGGGCCGTGCTCTGCTCCGTCCTGCCCCAGTTCAACAACCAACTGCAGCAGGACGCCCAAGAGCTGCTCATGTACTGCATCAACGCGCTGCACGAGGACCTGAAGAAGGTATGTGGTCATGTGACATCACAACATTCCAAAGAACCTAGAATTTGAAATGGTGGACTGGTTTCTCCTGGCTGTACTCATGGGCTGTACCTGTACCTCTCTCAGTATGGGCCTCCCCAAGGTTTCTCACTTTTTCCCCCACTGTTTTATTTGTTTTGAGCCATTTCTTGCCAGTGCCATATTATTGCCGGGATATTTATGGACATAGGTCATCCCCTTCCCTATGAACCAATGTGTTCATTATCATTGTAATTCCTGTGTTCCAACTTCATACTCTTTGATCTCTTGTTGAGTCAATGTTTGACTTCTTCTTTGTCAGGAAATGTCAACAAAGGGTTAGGAGTGGTGATGATATTACAAATTTAGGAATGTTGGACCTCAGACCTCATGGCTAAAAAAAACACGTTCACTCAAAAATCCACAGCGGATAAACTAGGCTGGTCCAAAAGAAAATACCCCCCTCAGCATTGACACGAGACGAAACCTGCCTTTTTTGCATTTGTTCTGGATTTTGTTTTGATTGTGTTTTTAACCAACTGAAGCACCTCGAGATGTGTTTGTACATTATTATTATTATTATTGTTGTTATTGTTTGTTGCAGCTTCCCTGTGGTCAGAGAAGGAGCAGGGAGGGTCTTCGCTCCGACAGCACGGTGGTCTCTCGTCTGTTCGAAGGCCGTCTGAGCGGAGCCACTCTGTGTTTGCACTGTGACCACCAGACGCTCAGCTTGCAGCCCTTCACCATCCTGTCCCTGCCCATCCCCACACACCTCATCTCCTGCTCCATACAGGTGCCACGCAAATAAACTCGCCGAAGAGTTCTGCTTCCAAACCCTTTTGATCAGGCATCATCTAGCACCGGAATTACAAACTCAGGCCCGTGGACCCAAATCCGGCCCTCAAAACCATTTTTTTGCAGCATTAGCGTTGCTGTTAATGGGCTACTATGGCATGTTATACTTCATTTTAAATAAATATAAAATATTATACACATATTATCTCCCTGTATATAACAACCATAATAACCATATGCTTGAATTAGTTTTTAAATGGTAACTAACATGTAATTAGAAGTTATTTTTATATTCATCTATCAAACTTCAAATACATTTCTTCTTGATATTTGGCCAAGTTGTGGTTGAATCCAAACCTACTAGAAAATAATATCCAAACTCATGTGCAAACTCATTACATTTATTGTGATTCTTTGATTCTCTGATCTGTGTTGGCTAATTCAAGTGCTTTGAGATAGCTACTGTTTTATTTAGTGATTTACAAGAATAAATTGAACGTCAAATACAACTAATTTGTCCAAAAAACACACAAAATATATACCACTTTTATACTTCTGGCCCCAACCTTGTTTTTTTTTATTTAGCCCCTGAGCAAAATGTATTGCATAATGTATAAGATCTTTAAAAACCTGTGACCTAAGCTCTAAATGTTCATAATAACCTGAGAAAATAAGGCACTATTACTACTACCATTTTAATTTACCCTACATTTTTTGATCCCCTTTTATGCACTCTGTCCCTTTGTGTGTTGAATGTTCTCTGCTGCCCCCTGCTGTCCTGCGGCGTTAGGACTGCCTGTCCCTGTTCTTCTCCCAGAGCGTGCTGAGTGGAGGGGAGCAGACCTGGTGCTCTGAGTGCAGCCTGAAGACTGAGACGGCTGTGGTCACCTACCTGGACCACCCCCCAGACATCCTCATCCTGCACCTAAAGAGGTAAACAGACCAGATCATACCAGGACAGACCAGACTATGACCAGGACCAGAACTAGGACAGACCTGACCAGGACCAGATCAGACCAGACCAGGGCAGACCAGACTATGACCAGGACCAGAACTACTGTAGGACAGACCTGACCAGGACCAGATCAAACCAGACCAGGGCAGACCAGACTTGACCAGACAAGACCAGACCAGGACGGACTGGACCAGACCAGACCAGACCAGACCAGAAAAGACTCAACAAGACCCGTAGTAGAGATCCTCTCACACCAGCACAGACGTCCAGACCAGTATCAGGTGCCACAGTCAGGAGGCTGCGGCTGTAAAGTGCCAAACTGTTGACACTTCACCCACAATGTCTAGTGTGTGTGTGTGTGTGTGTGTGTGTGTGTGTGTGTGTGTGTGTGGCAGGGACGTGCAGTCAGGGGAGGCAGGGGAGGCAGAGCCTCACCTGCCATTATTGGAAACTAATAATTATTTTAGTTTAAATATATAATTTATATCCACTGTCCTATGCTTTTAATGTATATTCGGCACGGTTCCCATCAGTTTTGATCATTTCTGAAGTCAAAATCGCCGAAATCCCGTTATTCCTATTCAAAGAGACGAGGTGAGGCAGCGCTCCTGCGTGCCTCACCCCAGACCGCTCCCTCACAGTGTGTGTGTGTGTGTCTGAGTGCACTCAGCTCGTGCAGTTGATATATCACCGTTTGTTTCAAATATCCTGCTTTAAAAACATTTTTTAAACTCCTCTTAGTGTTTAGTAGTGTATTGCACGTATGTGTGTACAATTTATATTTAGTTTAAGTCTTTTGATCGTAGATGAACACACAAGGAAAAAGCTTGGCGTGAGGCAGGCGGTATCTGTGCCTCACCGCTAGGGGTGATAGTGAGCATAAAGTTCATACCAGAGTTGCTAACAAACAATCAGCCCAAAATGCTATTTCTTTTGCTGGAAAATGGATGATTTGAATGAAGATTTTTTTTCTCAATTGGACTTTCAAACAAAGAAAGAATTAATATAGACTGGGAGACCACCACTGGACTTACGAGGTTAGTCCGGCTGCGGGGGAGGAGTTTGTTAATCTGTGTTTTATGTTGAACATTGACAGATACCGGCAAAGTAGTGCTTTTCCGAAAAACACTGATTCAAACACTGCTCAAGAGTTCTGCAACTTGTTTAAATTATTGTTTATGTTCCTCGCGTCTCTCTCTCCTCGCGTCTCTCTCTCCTCGCGTCTCCGTCTCTCTCTGCTCCTCGCGTCTCCGTCTCTCTGCTCCTCTCTGTCTCTCTCTGCTCCTCTCTCCTCGCGTCTCTCTCTCCTCGCGTCTCTCGCACCTGCGCTTCTTAAAGATGTTGTTTGATGCGGAGCAGAGTCAGCAGCTAGATTTGTTGTGAGATTATTAAAAGAAGCTGGTTCTCTTATCTTTACAGTATATAAAGTTTGTGGATGTCATTGCATTGGTGATTAAATGCTATTTTATTTGAATAATGATTGTAAATCTGACTTTTAAAGTCAGTGCCTCCCCAATCACAAACCTCACCGCACGTCCCTGGTGTGTGGGTGTGTGTGTGTGTGTTTCTGTGTGTGTGTGTGGGTATATATGTATAATTCCATTTCTCTTTTCTAATTTTCTTGTCTCAAATTTAACCTTAATCTTTGTGGATGGAAAGTAAAAGCAAGTTTGTAATATTAGGTCAATGCTGAGCCTTGCAGTATTAAATACAAAAAGTTGAGTCACACTTTAGTTTAGCCCTCACTAATTAAAAGCTAATAAATGTATAATGTATGGTTAATTAGCTCTTAATTGGTATTTATTCAGCATTTATTAGTCCTTGTTCTACATGGCCTCATTATCAACATTAATTTGTGGGTTAAAGTTAGAGTTAGGGTAAAATACATCAGCTGTGAATTTGTGAGGGCTATTCTAGAGTGTTACCAAAAGTTGAATATACAGACATCAATATGTTTAATATTATTTATAATTTTTATTTTGTTTTTTTGTATTGCTGTGGGGTGTGGGTGGGGGCGGGTTGGGATTGAGATGGGGGGATAACTCTCAAAGACCAATTTTTAAGACGACTTCCACTTCTCTTTAAAGTCTATTCCGGTTTCTTCTTTATATCTCGGGTCAACAGTAACCAATCAAACTCAATTGAGTTGCATCTTCTTTGTTTTTTGACATCTGTCAGTTTTGTTTCTCTTTCCTCTATAAAATGATTTTAAGGATTGCTTTAACCTCTGGATCTCTTCCTGGTGGCTTTGCTTCATCCTTTCCATCTTTTTGCATTCTTCCTTCCATTTTTTAAGCATTAAAATTGGTTAAAAAGCATTTATAAATGCTTTTTAACCATGAATGTTTTAATGGATTTTATGTAATTTTATTGTGAAGCACTTTGGTCTCCTTGAGTGTTGTAAAGGGCTCTATAAATACAATTGATTGATTTTATCTCCATGTTTTTGGAGTGCTTTTTCTGATTAATTATCCTGCCCTTCAACTCTTGTATGGTCTTGTTGGCGTCTTCATACATACGTCTCTTGAACCCAAATCTCACAGTGCCGGTCATGAAACCAAAGTGCTACTGCTGCTTCAAACTGTTGCATTCAACCTGAACTAAAGCTTCCTATTTCATGCAACACGTCACACTAATCATTCATTCCATACGCGCTGGTGGTGAACTACTAGCCACATCTGCCCTGGGGTAAACTGCTGCAAGTGAGGCTGCCATAGAGGCCCCTCCTACCACCACCTGCCATTCACACACGCAAAACATTCATACAAGGCAAAGTGGGTGAAGTGTCTTGCCTAAAAACACAATGACGAGTTTACAACCGCCCCACTGTAGCTCCTGGTGGGAATACCAGGTCTCCCATCCCAGCGGTGTCCAGGCCCGATGTGTGCTAGCTGTTAGCTTTAGGATCATGACTGGTTTTGAGAAATTTTGATTTGAGATGACCAGAGAGACAAGAGAGATCTCTCGTCTCTCTACCTCCTTTCTTGTCTCTCCCCCTCCACCAGAGGGAGAGAGACCAGAGAAAGAGAGAGCAGAGAGGCCAAAGTGTGCAATTCTCCCTGTGATATTGGGATCTTTTGTATATTTTTGTGGAAGTGGAAGTGTATCAACCTTCAGTCTATGTTGTCTTTCTTTAAAAAGGTCTATAAGGAGTTAGAGAATGGGATTTGGGAATGGGAGTTGGGAGTGGGGGGATTTTGTTTGGGTTATTGGTGTCTTAATAACACCTGGACACGTCTTTGTCCTGTTCAGAGGCATGTACATTATTCAGCTGCAGTTCCAGTATTTTAGCCTCTAGCTGTTTTATCTTAACAGCTGCATCCGTCTTTGCCTCCTGGATTTGATGGTTAAATAACTCGCGGAGGTCTTGAATGTGCTTCATTGCAGATTCGTCCAGGTCACTTATCGACCTACTTGATTTTTTCACCTGTTTTTTGATGTTTACCTCTTGCTTTTTCTTGCATTCAGTCAGTGCTGTCAGCTCGCAATATTTGTTCTCTAACATTTTTCTTGCACTCTCTAACTCTTCTCGTTTCTCTTCAGACGATTCCAAGGATTGTCCTAACCTCTGGATCTCTTCCAGATGGCTTTGCTGAATCCTTTCCATCTTTTTGCGTTCTTCTTCCCATTTTATCTCCAAGTTTTCGGAGAGCTTTTCCCGATTCATTTTCCTGGCATTGGCCAGCTGCTCCTTCTCCTCCTGATTGCTTTCTTTCAGTTTGCTGATGACCTTGTCTTTCTGCTCGATCTTCTTCCTCAGCTCCTGAATGGTGAGATCGGAGGTCCTCCTGACCTCCTTCACAGCCTCTTCCTCGTTCATGTTTTTGATCCGTGCAGCAAGAAGTCTTTTCTCATTTTTCATATGGCTTTCCTGATCTAGAATGATTGATCTACACTCCTCTAACTCTTTCTGGGTATTGGCCAGCTGCTCTGTCTCCTTCTCTTTGTTTTCTGTCAAATTGCTGATCACTTTGTCTTTCAGCTCAATCTTCTTCCTCAGCTCTTGAATGGTGCGAAGTCTCTGTTTGTCTGACGCAGCGTGTACATTTTTCAGCTGAATTTCCTGATTCAGAATATTAGCTTTAAGCTCTCTATTCTCGGCTTTGACTTTCGCGTCTTCTGCCTCCATCGCAGAGTTTTTCATCAGGAAATTTGCATCATACTCCTCTAACTCTTTCTGAGTCTTGGCCAACATTTCTTTCAACTGAGAAGCTTCAGTCCTCAGTTCTGTTTCTTGCTCATGCATCTGGGTCTTCAGCTTGTCTGCATAGCTGCTAGCGTCCAGTATACGAGCGTTCAACAGGTCAATCGCCTCCAGGTTTTTTTTATATGTCACCTGTTTCTCGTCTTGGAGCTTGGTCATTATCGAATTATACCGTTTGGAATCTTCTGCATTTGCTGCTCTCAAGGCCTGAATCTCCTCATGAGCCTTCTGCAGTTGCCCTGTGATTTCACTCAAAGCCGCTTGGAGAGCTGTCTTCTCCCGGACAGTACTCTCCAGTTTGCATTGGGTAGAATTAGAGCTTTCTGAAACCTGCAGTAAAGCCACTTGGAGAGCCGTCTTCTCCTGGACAGCATCCTTCAGTTTGCGATGGGCTGAAGTGGAGCTTTCTGAGGCCTGTAGTAATGCCACTTGGAGAACTGTCATCTCTTGGACAGCCTCATCCAGTTTGCGTTGGGTAGAAGTGGAACTTTCTGACTCCTGCAGTAAAGCCGCTTGGAGAGCTGTCTTCTCCTGGACAATATTCTCCAGTTGGCATTGGGCAGAAGTAGAGCATTCTGAAACCTGCAGTAAAGCCGCTTGGAGAGCCGTCTTCTCCTGGACAGCATTCTCCAGTCTGCGTTGGGCTGAAGTGGAGCTTTCTGAAGCCTGCAGTAGAGCCGTCTCTAAGGCAGACCTCTCTGTTTGGAGCAGGCTCACTTGCTGCTGCTGTTGTCGACTCTCTTCCTCTTGAGTCTTCACCAGCTCGCACCTTTGTTGCGTCTCCCTCTTCAGGTCCTCTACCAGACTTTGGTGTTTTTCCTCCAACACCATCACGCGGCATTCAAGCATTTCTATAAGCTTGTCCTTCTTCGATCTTCTTCCAAAGCACGACATTTTGTTCATTTGTGTTTCTCGCGATTAAAACCTTGGTCCGGCCTTTCCTCTGCTCAGATTTATTATGCTGTCTGTGTCTCCACACCTTTGTGACCTCATAAAGGACACATTGTCATGTTGCCGTGACGATTGTTCACGTTCTGTTGTCATGGCGATTTTGGCAGCCAACTTGTGGGCTCTGTTGGCGTAGCGATTTTGGCAGCCATCTTGCGGTTTCTGTTACCATGACAATTTTGGCAGCCATCTTGCGGTTTCTGTTACCATGACAATTTTGGCAGCCATCTTGCAAATGGTGGCGAAGCAGAATTCCTCATTGAAAATAATGGAAAATACTTGTTGGGAGCGCACCAGAGCTCCTGGAAGTTTATTCTCAATTTCCTTCAGGTTTCAGTGGTTTCAGTTTCTTCAGACAGAACAAAGTCAGGACATGGTTTAAATAATCATTGTTACGTCGCACATAGAAAGGCAAACGTGTTGCATCAAGAGACAATCAGAACATATTAGAGTCATGACATGGAGACACAATGGAGTCCTTGTGACTGTGAGGGCCAGAAAGTTAGTCTTGCATTTATCCACTGCGTAGGCCATAGCTATCTAATTCCCTTAATAATATAAAACAATATTGATTATGATAATGATAACACCTAATAAAATATAAAATATAAAATAGTATTATGCTCCTGTGGACTCACCACCTGCAGGAGGATCAGTGAGGGGCTGGTGTTATGGGTGCAGCTCTGACTGCCACCCCCCGACCCAGAAATGGATTGAGGGGAAGAAAATTGATGGATGGAAAATAGTATTAATTCATGGAAACAACGTTAACAACAATAACATGTGTGACACATACACAATCTCTGAATGTGTGTGTGTGTGTTTATGGTTGTTTAACAGTGTATGAGCGTGTGTGCGGCGTGCATGTGTGCGTCTGTCTGTCTGTTTTTGTGTGTGTGTGTGGGTATATATATATAATTCCATTTCTCTTTTCTAATTTTCTTGTCTCAAATTTAACCTTAATCTTTGTGGATGGAAAGTAAAAGCAAGTTTGTAATATTAGGTCAATGCTGAGCCTTGCAGTATTAAATACAAAAAGTTGAGTCACACTTTAGTTTAGCCCTCACTAATTAAAAGCTAATAAATGTATAATGTATGGTTAATTAGCTCTTAATTGGTATTTATTCAGCATTTATTAGTCCTTGTTCTACATGGCCTCATTATCAACATTAATTTGTGGGTTAAAGTTAGAGTTAGGGTAAAATACATCAGCTGTGAATTTGTGAGGGCTATTCTAGAGTGTTACCAAAAGTTGAATATACAATACAATACAATACACAATACAATTTATTCTTGTATAGCCCTAGGTCACAACAGAAGTCATCTCAGAGGACTTAACAAAACCATTGAAATCACCAACACAGGTCAGAGAATCAACAGCCAAAACACATGGAGAATATAAAGCACACACAGAAGAAAATGTCCATACATGTTGTAGAATGCTAAAGTGTCCTGATCATCACCAATCCTTTCTGTTGGACACTAACTGTCCAACAAGACCCTCCTGCATCAACAAGGAAAAACTCTTAAAAAACCCAGTGGGAAAAAGTGAGAAACCTTGGGGAGCACTAGGGAAACCCACAGGGAGGGAGACCCATATGAGAAAGGGATCCGCTCCTCCGGACGGACAGGCTAATGATCTAGGACCTAAGCTAGCTACAGAACGTGGACCAGTGGCCGCTGAACGTGGACAGGTCCGGTGCAGGACTGAAGCACTCCCAGGCGGGTCGGGCGGGGCAGTCCGCAGGTGCAGATGGAGGAGGCCAGGCTCAGAGATCCCGTCATCGTACCATGAAACAGACAATGGGACAACGGGTGAATAGCAATGAACAAACTACAGTCAGAATCCTAAAAGTGCTAAACAGATAAAGTAGATAAAGTAGGAAGGAGGAGAGGATAGTGCTCAAGTTACCATACTTCTCCCAGCAAACTGACACCCTATGCAGCTTGACTGACACTCTGAGGAGTTTAACCTTCTCCGAGTCTTACCTTCCTAGCCATATGCTAAACTAAAGAGGACTGTTTTAAACCTAGCCTTGAATAAAGAGATTCATGGATTGCACACCAGGTGTGCAAACCGATCCAAGCAAACCTAATTATATATTATATATCATATACATCATATATACCATACATACCATATATATCATATATAATACACAACATAACATACAGCATAATATATAACATAATATACAACATAAAACAATACATTATTGTATAATATATAACACAATACAGCATACATATATAATATATACACCATATATTATATATTACCTAATTATATGCTAAATTAAAGTAAAGTGCTTTAAGCCTGGCCTTGAATGTGGAGACCGTATCTGCTTCCTTAACATAAATGGGAAGCTGATTCCACAGTAAAGGAGCTTGGTAGCTAAATGCTCTGCCACCAACAGTGATTTTTGAGACCTTAGGGACTACCAGACGTCTGGCGTTTTGTGAGCGCAACGCTCGACTTGGTTGATACGACACTAACGTGTCTTGGAGATAAGAAGGAGCCAAGCCATTTATGGCTTTATATGTTAAGAGAAGGATTTTAAACTTTATTTTGTACTCCACAGGGAGCCAGTGGAGTGATTTTAACACCGGAGTTATGTGCTCCCTCCTTTTGGTGCCTGTTAAGATCCTAGCTGCTGTATTCTGAACGAGCTGGAAGCTCTTCAAAGAGGCTTTAGGGCACGCTGCCAGTAAAGCGTTACAGTAGTCGAGCCTTGAGGTGACAAACGCGTGAATGAGTTTTTCCGCGTCACTTTTAGGAAGGAAATTCCTAATTTTAGCGATGTTCCGTAGGTGGAAGTACGCCGTTTTAGTTGCTTGGCTTATATAAGCCTTGAAGGAGAGTTCTTGGTCAAAAATGACTCCAAGATTCCTCACAGTGTTACTGGGTATTATACTGACATTATCGAGAGTAACCATCTGGTTAGTGAGGGAGTCACGCAGGCGCTTCGGACCGAGTAGGATCACTTCTGTCTTCTCCGGGTTGAGAAGTAGAAAGTTAAGAGTCATCCACATTTTAAGGTCCTTTATGCAGGCACTGAGCTTTTCTAGCTGATCTGTCTGATTTGGCTTCATCGACAGATAAAGCTGTGTGTCATCTGCATAGCAGTGGAAATTAATTCCATGCTTTTTAATAATGTTTCCCAGTGGCAGCATGTAGAGAGTAAAAAGAATCGGTCCGAGTACCGAACCCTGCGGCACACCGAATTCTACTCCAGAATAAGGTGACGAGTTCTGATTTACGTTGACGAAGTGATACCGATCTGATAAATAGGATTTAAACCAGCCAAGGGCTGTTCCTCTAAGACCTATATCACATTCTAGCCTCTGCAGTAGAATGCTGTGGTCTATTGTGTCAAATGCAGCACTAAGGTCCAGTAGGACCAGCACTGACACTTGTCCATTATCAGCAGCTAGTAGTAAGTCATTTGTGACTTTGACTGGTGCCGTTTCAGTGCTATGATGAGCTCTGAATCCTGATTGAAAGACTTCAAACATATTATTTTCCTGCAGGTGGCAGCGAAGCTGCTCAGCTATAAGTTTTTCCAGGATTTTAGATATAAAAGTGAGGTTTGAGATCGGTCTGTAGTTTGTAAGTATTTCTGGGTCCAGGTTTGTTTTCTTCAGAAGGGGTTTGAAAGAGGTTAAAGGAAATGCAAAAACGTTGAAGTTTTTACAAAGTGGTGAGAATCCCAATAATTGTAATTCCTGTTGGACAGTCGTTCCTGTTTGTTTGGTATTGCAAAGTCGAACTCGATACTAGATCTCTGTAAAACAGTGAAACCATATGTCCCATTTTTGATTATTCTTTATTTTTCTAAAATAATTCTTTCCAAATTCCCAGTGAACTTCAGCTACCCCTCCCTCGAAGACCCCAAACCTGCAGCTCCTCCACAACCGGAGCCGCCAGTCGTCCCCGCAGTGGTGGAGCCTTCGGTCCCTGTGGTGCTGAACGGAGTGGCCCCTGTCTCTCCTCCTCCTCAGACCTCCTCAAGGCCCGAGCTACAGAACACTGTGGACGCTGCGGTGATGGGCCCAGAGCTCAGCAAGAGCTCAGCCACACGTCCGGAGAGCCAGGCCCCTGTCACCACCACCACTGCTGCCACCGCCTTCCCACAGGTGAGACCAGAGAGTGAGAGACCAGAGAGTGAGAGACCAGAGAGTGAGAGACCAGAGAGTGAGAGACCAGAGAGAGTGAGAGACCAGAGAGAGTGAGAGACCAGAGAGAGTGAGCGAGACCAGAGAGAGTGAGCGAGACCAGAGAGAGTGAGCGAGACCAGAGAGAGTGAGCGAGACCAGAGAGAGTGAGAGAGAGTGAGCGAGACCAGAGGGAGTGAGCGAGACCAGAGGGAGTGAGCGAGACCAGAGGGAGAGCGAGACCAGAGGGAGTGAGCGAGACCAGAGGGAGTGAGCGAGACCAGAGGGAGTGAGCGAGACCAGAGGGAGTGAGCGAGACCAGAGGGAGTGAGCGAGACCAGAGGGAGTGAGCGAGACCAGAGGGAGTGAGCGAGACCAGAGGGAGTGAGCGAGACCAGAGGGAGTGAGCGAGACCAGAGGGAGTGAGCGAGACCAGAGGGAGTGAGCGAGACCAGAGGGAGTGAGCGAGACCAGAGGGAGTGAGCGAGACCAGAGGGAGTGAGCGAGACCAGAGGGAGTGAGCGAGACCAGAGGGAGTGAGCGAGACCAGAGGGAGTGAGCGAGACCAGAGGGAGTGAGCGAGACCAGAGGGAGTGAGCGAGACCAGAGGGAGTGAGCGAGACCAGAGGGAGTGAGCGAGACCAGAGGGAGTGAGCGAGACCAGAGGGAGTGAGCGAGACCAGAGGGAGTGAGCGAGACCAGAGGGAGTGAGCGAGACCAGAGGGAGTGAGCGAGACCAGAGGAGTGAGCGAGACCAGAGGGGTGAGGCAGACCAGAGGGGGTGAGCGAGACCAGAGGGGTGAGCGAGACCAGAGGGGGTGAGCGAGACCAGAGGGGGTGAGCGAGACCAGAGGGGGTGAGCGAGACCAGAGGGGGTGAGCGAGACCAGAGGGGGTGAGCGAGACCAGAGGGGGTGAGCGAGACCAGAGGGGGTGAGCGAGACCAGAGGGGGTGAGCGAGACCAGAGGGGGTGAGCGAGACCAGAGGGGGTGAGCGAGACCAGGGGGGAGCGAGACCAGAGGGGGTGAGCGAGACCAGAGGGGGTGAGCGAGACCAGAGGGGGTGAGCGAGACCAGAGGGGTGAGCGAGACCAGAGAGAGAGAGCGAGCGAGATCAGAGAGAGAGAGCGAGCGAGACCAGAGAGAGAGAGCGAGCGAGACCAGAGAGAGTGAGCGAGCGAGACCAGAGAGAGTGAGCGAGCGAGACCAGAGAGAGTGAGCGAGCGAGACCAGAGAGAGTGAGCGAGCGAGCGAGACCAGAGGGAGGAGCGAGACCAGAGAGGGAGTGAGCGAGACCAGAGGGAGTGAGCGAGACCAGAGGGAGTGAGGCGAGACCAGAGGGAGTGAGCGAGACCAGAGGAGTGAGCGAGACCAGAGGAGTGAGCGAGACCAGAGGGAGTGAGCGAGACCAGAGGGAGTGAGCGAGACCAGAGGGAGTGAGCGAGACCAGAGGGAGTGAGCGAGACCAGAGGGAGTGAGCGAGACCAGAGGGAGCGAGCGAGACCAGAGGGAGCGAGCGAGACCAGAGGGAGCGAGCGAGACCAGAGGGAGCGAGCGAGACCAGAGGGAGCGAGCGAGACCAGAGGGAGCGAGCGAGACCAGAGAGAGTGAGCGAGCGAGACCAGAGAGAGTGAGCGAGCGAGCGAGACCAGAGGGAGTGAGCGAGACCAGAGGGGGTGAGCGAGACCAGAGGGGGTGAGCGAGACCAGAGGGGGTGAGCGAGACCAGAGGGGGTGAGCGAGACCAGAGGGGGTGAGCGAGACCAGAGGGGGTGAGCGAGACCAGAGGGGGTGAGCGAGACCAGAGGGGGTGAGCGAGACCAGAGGGGGTGAGCGAGACCAGAGGGGGTGAGCGAGACCAGAGGGGTGAGCGAGACAGGGGGGTGAGCGAGACCAGAGAGAGAGAGCGAGCGAGACCAGAGAGAGAGAGCGAGCGAGACCAGAGAGAGAGAGCGAGCGAGACCAGAGAGAGAGAGCGAGCGAGACCAGAGAGAGAGAGCGAGCGAGACCAGAGAGAGTGAGCGAGCGAGACCAGAGAGAGTGAGCGAGCGAGACCAGAGAGAGTGAGCGAGCGAGACCAGAGAGAGTGAGCGAGCGAGACCAGAGAGAGCGAGCGAGCGAGACCAGAGAGAGCGAGCGAGCGAGACCAGAGAGAGCGAGCGAGCGAGACCAGAGAGAGCGAGCGAGCGAGACCAGAGAGAGCGAGCGAGCGAGACCAGAGAGAGCGAGCGAGCGAGACCAGAGAGAGCGAGCGAGCGAGACCAGAGAGAGCGAGCGAGCGAGACCAGAGAGCGAGCGAGCGAGACAGAGCGAGCGAGACCAGAGAGAGCGACGAGACGGAGCGAGCGAGACCAGAGAGAGCGAGCGAGACCAGAGGGAGGCGAGCGAGACCAGAGGGAGCGAGCGAGACCAGAGGGAGCGAGCGAGACCAGAGGGAGCGAGCGAGACCAGAGGGAGCGAGCGAGACCAGAGAGAGCGAGCGAGACCAGAGAGAGCGAGCGAGACCAGAGAGAGCGAGCGAGACCAGGAGAGAGCGAGCGAGACAGAGAGAGCGAGCGAGACCAGAGAGAGCGAGCGAGACCAGAGAGAGCGAGCGAGACCAGAGAGAGCGAGCGAGACCAGAGAGAGCGAGCGAGACCAGAGAGAGCGAGCGAGACCAGAGAGAGAGAGCGAGCGAGACCAGAGAGAGAGAGCGAGCGAGACCAGAGAGAGAGAGCGAGCGAGACCAGAGAGAGTGAGCGAGCGAGACCAGAGAGAGTGAGCGAGCGAGACCAGAGAGAGTGAGCGAGCGAGCGAGACCAGAGAGAGCGAGCGAGCGAGACCAGAGAGAGCGAGCGAGCGAGACCAGAGAGAGCGAGCGAGCGAGACCAGAGAGAGCGAGCGAGCGAGACCAGAGAGAGCGAGCGAGCGAGACCAGAGAGAGCGAGCGAGCGAGACAGACCAGAGGGAGCGAGACAGACCAGAGGGAGCGAGACAGACCAGAGGGAGCGAGCGAGACCAGAGGGAGCGAGCGAGACCAGAGGGAGCGAGCGAGACCAGAGGGAGCGAGCGAGACCAGAGAGAGTGAGCGAGCGAGACCAGAGAGAGTGAGCGAGCGAGCGAGACCAGAGAGAGCGAGCGAGCGAGACCAGAGAGAGCGAGCGAGCGAGACCAGAGAGAGCGAGCGAGCGAGACCAGAGAGAGCGAGCGAGCGAGACCAGAGAGAGCGAGCGAGACCGAGAAGAGCGAGCGAGACGAGCGAGAGAGCGAGACCAGAGAGCGAGCGAGCGAGCGAGACCAGAGAGAGCGAGCGAGCGAGACCAGAGAGAGCGAGCGAGCGAGACCAGAGAGAGCGAGCGAGCGAGACCAGAGAGAGCGAGCGAGCGAGAGACCAGAGAGAGCGAGCGAGACCAGAGAGAGTGAGCGAGCGAGACCAGAGAGAGTGAGCGAGCGAGACCAGAGCGAGACCAGAGCGAGACCAGAGCGAGACCAGAGCGAGACCAGAGCGAGATCAGAGCGAGACCAGAGAGAGTGTTGTATGTCTAATATAACTTCATTTGTTTGCTCAGTTCGACCGCACCAAGAAGCCGTCAGTGAGAATTGTGGAGACTCCGAGACCCAGCATTAACGGCACCAAAGACTTAGCCCAAAACGGCGTCGTGATCCCGGACCGCTCCGTCAAACCGTCTGCAACTGTGAGCAGAGAGGAGCCGAGCGACGAGCAGGAGCTGAAGGATCTGAAGGACCTGAAGGAGCGTATGGAGCGGGACCCGAGTGACGAGGAGAGGAGAGAGCGGAGGCGACTGGAGCGTCAGAGGGGCGAGGAGGCGGAGGACAGGACGACGCAAGGCCGAGGGAAGGACACCAACGCAGACACGCCTTCAAAAAGCATGTCCCTCGACTCGCCCGCCCCAAACCACATTGTCAGCGAGATCAAGGTGGGTCTGAGCTGCCTATGTGAGGGAGGAAACACAACGTCAATGTGTTTTTGTTACAGTCAGATGGATGAAACGTGAAGCTGCTTTTAGAGTGCATTCATGTCTCTACAGGCCATTAATTATGTTCTATTAGTCTATTACGTGTCTATTGTAAGAGGAGGACAATGGGAACATCAGCAGAAAGGCACATACTGAATGTTCAAATCCAGGCCGCAAATGACTGGGTGGGGTGCTCGTTTCAGCACGTGAGGGTGTATTTAGAAGAAGTTTATGTAGATTTTAATTCATGCATGCCTTCTTGTATGTTTATGTAGATTTTAATTCATGCATGCCTTCTTGCCTATTTAGTCTGCTTTAACTTGTTTGTACCGAGAGCCAAAGCAATTTCCCAGTTTGTGACTTCCTATTACTCACATGGCAATAAAAGTATTCTGATTCTGATTTTATGCAATAACGTCTTTTCCTAAACCAAAATGAGTTCCTTTATTGGATTGTTTTTAAATTTATTTATTTGATCAAGATCAATGCACACTAAACAGACACGCACACAGACACACGCATCTTGCAGCCATTTGTTTCTATTTATTTTTTTGTATTTTTACAGAGGGAGCAGCTGACCAGAGCGAGGAGTGAAGAGATGGGGCGTAGTATTCCTGGTCTACCTGTGGGATGGATGAAGGTAAGTCATTTTAACCTGTTTGAACAGCTTGAGTATACGTAATGTATGTTTTATTCTGGTCATTTTGACAAAGGTGATTCTTCTTAAGGTATTCAGCCGTTTTAATTTCATGTGATGTCAATGTATCCTGGCAAAAAAGTATTTAAAGTCACGTTTAAAGTGATGTCTCTTAAGAATAGAGTTATCCCAAACAACAAAATGTTAAACCAACTTATTTCAATAGTTGTTCGAACTAATTCACATAATGATTGTATAAAGTTGTAAGTGGCAAAGAACAGCCTAAATGGTCATAGACAGTGCCTTCTTTAAATAGAAAATGTTATATAACTCGCAATTCTACTTATATTTGTTTAGTAAGTAAGTAAGTAGTAAGTAAGTTTTTATTTATATACCGCCTTTTCACTGCAGATCTGAGTCTCAAAGCGGTTTACAATTGTTAATTTTGGGCATTTGTCTCTCACTCCACACAGAGATGGGAGCGGGGCCAGTACAGGAGGCACATGCTAGAACTATTGAACATATTTTTAGTGGTAGGGGAAACCGGAGTACCCGGAGGAAACCTACGCAGACACGGGGAGAACATGCAAACTCCACTCAGAAAGGCCCTGGTCCGGCCGGGATTTGAACCCAGGACCTTCTTGCTGAGAGGCGAGAGTGCTATCCACTCAGCCACCGTGCCGCCCGTTTATTATTGCATTAGTCAACAAGGCAATTACATATTACAAGAAAAAAAAAATTGTCTGAGATTGTGCAACTGATTAGGCTCCATCTTACGCACTTTTTTTCCTTTTCTACATATTTCTTTCTCTATAGTTTCTTGACACAACAACAGGAACATACCGCTACTACCACTCGCCAACAAACATGGTCCACCTCTATCCACCAGAGGTCACTGTTCCCCAGACCCCGCCCTCCACCCCTCCCACCGTCAAACCCAAACCCAAAACTGTCGATCCGGAAGCAAAGATCGAGCGGGAACGAGAGCAGTCCAAGTTGAAGCGCTCGTACTCTTCCCCGGACATCAGCCAGGACCTGAGAGAGGAGGCGCAGAAGAAGGTCGTGGCTCCCATCACAGCTGCAGTCGTTCCCACAGTCAACAGAGAAACCAAGTGAGTGTCTTTTCAGGGTTTTTGTGCATTTCATGGAAAAAAATGTGTACTGTTGAGCCTTCATGGGATCAGGTCAGGTTCTTAAAATCTGGTTTTTAACTTGTTTTTTCCAAATGTACTTAAACCAAGATTTGCCAATGACACAAGCAAAACAAAAATAAACTTAAGAGGATTATGTTCTTTCAAGTTCAGTAGCATATTTTTCTCCGAAGAGAGATTTTGCTTGTCTCTTAAACACAAGATGTTTTTGCTTGTCCCAAATTAAAAAAAAAACACAAACCGACTAATTCCAACCATTTTCTCTCCTTTTTCTCCTAGCATCAGTAATTATATAAAATGGTGTAGCCAATACCTGAACTATGATTCTATAACAAAAAACAAAACATGGTAATCTTGTCATGTTGTATTCTCTTCTGCTTTAAACATATTTGCACGTGTTCCATTCTCTTCCTTAGACCCACTGCCACTAAAGTCTACCAGAAAGTGGAAATTGTGCGACCGTCTGCGGCCAAACTCAGAAACTTAAACCCGACGTTTGGGGGTCTGGGAGCGTCTTTGACCGGACTCCGAAACCTGGGAAACACCTGCTACATGAACTCCATCCTCCAGTGTCTCTGCAACTCTCCCGCCTTGGCTAACTACTTCAACAACAACTGCTACATGGATGACATCAACCGGTCAGTGCCGAGAATGACACAATCTCTCAAATCTATGTCTGTATCTGAACAACTGAATCAAGTTTTCCTTTCACAAAATACCACATCCTACCTAATCCTAACCCTAAATTATTACTTATTTTTAAGTAATATTCTTTTTAGTTTAGTTGACAGGGACCATTGCACAATAAATGTACTGTACAGACCGGACATGGCGAGTGACTTATTTGAATCAATAGTTCCTCAAGCCGGCCGCCACAGAAGCACCAGGACCATGCTCAGAGATAGTATATATATATTTTTTTTATCACAGAGCAGTCACTTTCTTGAACCCTCCCCCTGTTAAAGTATGTTAACAGATGTTTTTCACTTCCTTTTTTTTTCTCAATGTGCCTTTTGTTTAATGTTCCTCGATGCCCCTGTCTGTCAGGTCCAATATCCTGGGACACAAAGGGGAGGTGGCTGAGGAGTTCGGGGTGATCATGAAGGCGCTGTGGGCCGGTCTGTACAAGTGCATCAGCCCCAGAGACTTCAAAATCACCATCGGCAAAATCAACGAACAGTTTTCCGGTTACGACCAACAAGACTCGCAGGAGCTCCTGCTGTTTCTGATGGACGGACTTCACGAGGATCTCAACAAGGTACTGACTCTGGGCTGGGCTGTCCAAACCGTTCAGTAGGACAGAGATGAAGTTGGCTGAATGACAAATGTTTACTTGCTCAGCAGCTACATCAGTGCCATCAATGGAATTTTGTGACACAATGAAAAACATTTGTAGCCGATGAGAATCCTATACTTAGTATTATTTAGACATGTTTGGGGTGGGGGCATTCAATTGGTTGGTACTCACTCTCTTCCAATCGATTAGCAGTGTGCTCTCTGTGGATATGCCCTTGTAATAACAATCCAAACCTCTTGATCTTGCACTTGTATTGATGCTGTGAGATTGATCAACTAAAATGGTTTCAATCGTTTCCTGCACTTGTGTAGTTTGTTTTATTTCTGTGCTTTTAACCTTGTTTTATTCATGTACTTGACTTGTGGGGGACTTTTGCAAAACTATTCCAGTGTGGTTTTACTGCAAATGGCCAATAAAATGGATCTGATTCTCTTTGTTTGTGTGTCTGTCTTTCAGGCTGACAACAGGAAGCGTTACAAGGAGGAGGAGAACGACCACCTGGATGACCAGTCTGCGGCGGACCTGGCCTGGAGTAAACACAAGGCCCTGAATGAGTCCATCATCGTGGCTCTGTTCCAGGGGCAGTTCAAGTCCACGGTGCAGTGTCTCACCTGTCACCGGAAGTCCAGGACCTTCGAGACGTTCATGTACCTGTCGCTGCCCCTGGCCTCCAGCTCCAAGTGCTCCCTGCAGGTGAGCGGACGCACCACGGTCCACAGCTGATCGGAAACACTGCAATTGTTTCCTTTTCAAATTGTATAGGCTGTATTTACATGCAAATTTTTTGTTTTTTTTTATTTTAACCATGTTGCAACATCATCAAAAACAGATCTATCCATGCAGATATCATTAAGCTCCGCCCCTTCTGTCGAAAAGCTCCTGTCTCAGTCCTGTAATAGTATGATGTCACTGTACTACTTTGACGTCATTTTGGGAGAAGTTTCCTGCCTTTTTTAAAACAAAATTTTCCTCTAAATTAGATTTGGCAATTTCTCAAGGTTAAATGACTTACTTTTCTAGCGCATGGCTGTGAAAAAATCTTCAACTCCTGCCCCTGGTGGTAGTTCAGGGCATTACAGGCAGCACCATTTTTTTTTTACCCTTTATACTTTATCACCATAAATTTCTACATAACACATTACTTCAAAACATTAAATTAATTAAAAAGTCATAATTTTGAATAGCCACAACTATCATATTTTCTCTTTATACAAACTTCAAATAAAAGGATCACAACCAATGTCAAACAGGCTAAACAAAATGTCTTTATTTTAGTGCATTTGTTTTATCTAGGCAAGTCCAAGCTTATCTTTTTTTAAGCTCAGTGGAAGTTGCTTATTATTAACATTCAACTGAAAACAATGTCCAATGAATACATGAAAAAGATATTTTTCTGGTAACATTTCCCACAAGTTTGAATTATTATGGTGCATTTTGAACATCATCCTGTGGTTATCTAAAAAAATCAATATGTCGTTTAAATTGAAAAAGGATTGTCACATACTCTGCCATCATAGTATCCTCTTTGTCCGTTTCACAGGATTGTCTCAGACTTTTCTCCAAAGAGGAAAAACTCACGGACAACAACAAAGTGTTCTGCCGACACTGCAAAGCTCATCGCGACTCCACCAAGAAACTGGAAATCTGGAAAGTCCCGCCCATTCTGCTGGTGCACCTGAAACGGTCAGTCGGGCTCCACAGCAATACAATCGTGTAATGTCAATTGCAAACATCAAATTCCCAGTAAAACTCCAGTAGATTTACAATAAATCTGGATCAGAGGGAAATACTAACGCACGCACGTAAAGAATCTTCCATTTCTGTTTAGTTTTTCATACGAGGGCCGGTGGAAGCAGAAGCTGCAGACCTCTGTGGACCTCCCTCTGGACTGTCTGGACCTGAGTCAGTACGTCATCGGACCCACGCAGAGTCTGAAGAAGTACAGCCTTTACGGCGTCTCTGTAAGTTTGAGCTTCAATAGTTTTACTTTTGTTATTTACTAAACTCAATCAGGTCCTTGTTGGATTCAAGTTTAGTCTTAAATAATTCAATTCAATTCAACGTATTCTTGGGAAGCCCTAAATCACAACTAAGACACAGGAAATGCAATGATGGAAAACACTTTGGTATTGGTCCAAATGTTGAGTGTTCTGGATCATCAGCACCGTACATATGTTAGACCCTGTAAACTGTTCAAACGTAGTGAGAAATGGTGAGAAACCTCTGGAGCCCACATTGAGAGAGGGATCTGCTTAAACGGAAGGACGGGCTTTAGTTCCAGTACTCGGGCTACAAACAATAAACACTATTGTTTCATACTTCTGGCTCTAGAAACAATTGGATCTGATTGTCATTGCATCTGAATGTCAATCTGAAGCGTTGCATTTTCCCCATGAATGTTTAAATAGTTAATTTGCACAAAACAGAATTACGATTTGCTTTTTACCAAGTCATTTTGGGAAAATCTGTTTTAGTACCCCTTCTTGAGCAAATCCTTTCAAATGTGTACTGCCCATGACAAAACATGTTGAAGATTGTAGCCAGAGGAATACAAATGATTGACCTTTTATTTTATTTTTTAACTGGAGCTAGAGATAGAGATGGAGATGGTGCTAGAGATGGTGCTAGAGATGGAGCTAGAGATGGAGCTAGAGATCACTCAAACTCTCCGTGTCCCGTCTCTCTTTTACAGAATCATTACGGGGGCCTGGACGGCGGACACTACACGGCCTACTGCAAGAACGCCACCAAGCAGCGCTGGTACAAGTTTGACGACCACGAGGTTTCCGAGCTCTCCACCTCCGCCGTCAAATCCTCTGCCGCTTACATCCTGTTCTACTCCACTCTCTGAACACACAACAGCCCCTCAGAGGGATATAATACTACAACTACTACTACTACTACTTCTACAATACAAAGCAACGTCTCTTGGTTTGAGAGAGCTCGGCGATCCTGCTCTCGAGGCTGCCGCGGTCTTAAGCGTCCGCCGGCGTGTGAAGGAAAGCGGTTGCCATGTTGCGTTGGTAGGAATGACAGAAAACATTGTACCAATCATCTAGTGGCCTACTTAACACAAAAACTGTCCTTTTTTGTGAGGTTTTAATTTGCAGCAGGCTCAATCACACCGATGGAAAGCTTTGTACATAACTTACCGATGCTAACGTTGCACATATACAAATGTAAATAATCAAAGGGCGAAGGGTGAGATCTGTTTTAAGCGACCAAACGTTTTCTCCTGACTCGGCAGTGGCGGTAACATATTGGAGTTTTATGAGCCATTTATTTTTTGTTCTCTGTAAGCAGCATTTATAGCCAAGTTTTTCTGCACTTACAATATGCAATCCAGTCTAGTTTGTGTAGAACATGTTGTTTAATGCCTATTCGGCACCGTCGCTTTAGCCTTTAAGCTGGTTTTGCGTGGAGCACTAAATGAACCTGTATTTACTTTGAATATTGCCAAAATATGTATTACGGAAATTTGTTGCATACAGCACTTTTTTTTTTTTTGTATCACAAGGGAATAAATAACCGTTCCATGGACCACTTTGACTGGACATAGCCGACACTGTTTAGCTTTTGTGAAAATGTTCAAAATAAATCGGGTTTTCCTTCTAAACCACACAAGGTCAGACACGAGACCAGACAATTTCAGTGGCTCCTGAGATTTTTGGTATTGTCTTGCAGCATTGAAGGTTCTGTAATATCAGCTAGTCGTGGTATACCTCAAGATAATAATTCATTTTATTTTATTTAACCCAAACACGTAATGGAGTCTATAATAAAGTTGAATTGATTGAATTATAAACTGTGAATGTACAATTCAAAGTCATTGGCCAATTCTTTAACTTCGGTTCAGTCCAAATATACAGTAATGAACTAGTTTTGTTCAGAAAAATGTACCTGAAAATAATCTCCAAACTAAAGTGAAAGTATTCCTTTAGTGTAAATATCTCCATAATATCAACATGCATACATACATACATATCCACTGATGCAAAGCGGAACCTCAAACACCTGGGGAGCTAGTATTTTTTTAATCTGGCCCCAGACCAAAATCAGTTTGACTTCTCTGTTCCAAACCAGTAAAATCTTGGGAATCACAGACAAATTCCAGACTTTTTTTAAAAATGAGAAATGTACACACAAACTCTCGCAGAACTTCCACAAACTTCTTGACGCAGATCACACTTGGCCCAAAGCTCCAGCACAAAAATAAATGACTTTTTTTGGACCAAATTAAAATGTCAAATTCTAGTTATCTTTTCATAAATCAGACATTTAACATTGGAAGTATCTTACAGATTTGTTTTCAATTCTATTTATTTATGTACAACCCTAAATCACTACGTGAGTCGTCTCTGAGGACTTCACAAAGTTGTCGATTCCTTACAAACAGAATCAAACACAGGAAATGCAATAATAACTAGCACATAGAGCCTTTTAATCCATAGCGAGCGGGATGGCGGAACATTTTTGGACAATCTCTGGTCAGTGTGACTTTTATGTGCCCAAACTAGGGAAATATGAAGTAATTCTTGTGGAAATGAAGGAAACAAGTTGAATGTGAGGTTTATTTGACATTTCCCAAGTGCTTCATACTTCAGTGAGCCACGCTATTGTCCATATTCTCTGTTCTAATCTACACCTATAACACTTGTCTTGTACTTAACATTAGAATCACTATGTCTAGTTTGACGCTGGTTTAAGACTTGTTTAGGCCGTGGTTTGGTTGATTCTTCATCCATTTGTCTGGAATCTCACTCAGCACTGTTCATCTGTCGGACATTGGACAGCTCTATAAAGGACCAGAGACTGGATTTGCCTGGATCGGACTTGTTTTGCGTAGCATGAGATCACGGTTTTCTTGATGGTTTTTATTTCTATTGCTCTAGAAGGTTTCAGACATAACAAATTATATTAACCAACTACTTATATGACTATTTATTAAAATGGCTTCAAATTAAAGTGTGTTTTGCATTTATTTAATACATTTGTGTTGGAGCATAATTTGGAGAGGGATTTTGACTGTGAATTTTGATAATCATCCATAATTGCAGCAAATCAAAGAAAATAAAACCAAATTTGAAGAGGATTCATCTCAATAGGACTGTGTATACATTCATAGATGTTCCATGAATGCTTAAAGATATGGAGGTTAATGTAAAAGTCTAATCTCTGCTCCATACTTCAGAGCTATGATTGTTAGTTTCTCAATCACAAATGCATCTGCAGAAAATGATTCTTATGAGGGCTGTAGAATCTGGGTGAAAAAAACAGTAAAGGAGTATATGGCCATCATGATTTCAGACGTTTTGTGTTCGTTTTTTTACTGAATTGTGCAATTTCTTTGGTTATTTTTTGTCCTTGTGCTTCAGTGGCTGTATGAGAGGTCATCATGGGGCCTTTACTATTCATTACAGTGGTCTGCAGGATGCAATAAGATTTTTGTTTTTGGTTCTTTAGAAAGACGAGCTGATAAATGACATGTCACCAAGGCAGGTGCAGCTGAAACATGTGAACAAGGAAAAACTCAAGACAAATCTAAATTCTTTCATTCTTACATTTTTACTCAAAGCAAAATGAACCCTTTTGAATCCTCCATTTGGATCAGTTGTTTGGAGCGTTTTTTCTGCTGACCCCTGCACCATAAAAACAACACAACCATTTCTCCTTGAGCTCTGTAGATCCAAGAGAATAAAGGTGAAGGCATTATGCCGGGTCACTGCAAGGACACACACACAAATATCTAGTTTTTCCTCACTAATTAACAGCTGATAAAGTGCAAATGTGTATATTTTATGGTTATTTAGCTCTTAATTGGTACTTATTAACCACTTGTTAGTCCTTATTCTAAATGGCCTTATTCAACATCTAACTACTACTAAGTGACCTTTTCCCATGTGAGTTAGGGCAAGGGCTAAGGTTAGACCTAGGTTTAGGGCCAGGGTACATTAAGCTCTTAGTTAACTGGCATTGGTGTCTTTCAATTTCAATTCAGGCGTTTATAATTTACCAAACTTTATATGTTTATGTTTCATTTATTGACACATCTATCAGTCCTATGAAGGCAAGGAAAAAAAATATCTGTTACCCGCTGTCACCGAGATCAAGATTACCAACGTATATAAACACAAATGTTTTTGACTTGTAGAATTAGACGTGGTCAGAGATCCAGTTGAGTGATGGTGGTTTGCATGTATCTAAACTTTACATAAACTTTGACTCAGTTCTGACAAACGATGAACACTGTTGTTGTGTCCTTGGGCAAGACACTTCACACATCTCCTCTATATAAACATTCTGAGCCCATGATTCACCGAAGCAAACACCAGGAAATCCTCTTTAGTTCATTTCCAAAAACAAGGCTGTCGACACGTGTTTATTAGTGTCTGGATCATAGTCCTGGTATCTGTGGTTTGAGGAAGCTCTGCCTGCTGTAGAACAGGATGTATGCGTGAGGAGACTGCAGGAGGACGCCCTCTACTGGCCGCACCTCAGAGTCGTCGAAACAGAACCAGGTCTGAGTCACAGTGTTGTAGCACAGAGCAGTGTAGTGTCCCATGTTCAGGTGGCCAATGTGGTTCTGAGGGAGAAAAGGAGAATTTGTTTGATAACGACGGTTACAATCATCAATTTGTTTTGTTATTGGAACACATTTTGACAACATTAGCTAAAGAAGGGGAGAATATGTATAATGTTAACAAAAAAGTATCAAAAAAGCTTTTACATATTTTTCCACTGGTACTTTTTATGATTGTAACTCTTATTCAAATCTTTGCTATTGGTCATGTCAATCTCGGGCATGTCAAAACTGAGGCCTGTGGGCCAAGTGCGGCCCACTGTGTCATTGTATGTGGCCCTCTGCCTTGCTGACCTTCAAGATTCAAGATTAATTTATTATGTCCCGTAGGAAATTTGTTTAGACACCACTGGTCAAACTTTTCTCCTCCAGCAAATTATGGTGATTATGTAGCTAGGGTGTCTAACTCTCAAATCAAAAATAATTACTGCATGTGACTAGTTCCTGGCTCTAAAACCAGGAGGAGGAAATGGTTTACCGCTACAGAAGTGTGGTTGACAGGAGGAAGAAGTTCAGCTCACACACTCATTCTTCCACATTCAGTTTCTGTTCACATTATAATTTGAAAACTGCATATTCTCTACGAGTTTACAGGGATATACCTAATATGTTAACACTTTTTATACTGTGTTTCTGTATAAAACTAAATTATAGAGTTGTTTTATATTTATAACCTCAAAAAAACACTAATTATGAGTTTTTGGCATTTCATTTCATCGTCATCTCCAAAATTGATCCAAACAAAATAATGGGTTTACACATGTATTAAAGCACCCGTGTTTGTCCCGGCTCAGACCCACCACGACGGCGTAGAGCTTGTAGGAGGAGTAGTTGGAGCTGAAGGCAGAGCTGGAGAGGAACGGGCTCAGGTCCAGGCTGTCTGTAGAAAAGTCCACGTTGGTCCTGAGTTTGACCTGGCTCTTCCCTTTACAGCCGAACCTGCGTTGTGGGTTTGAAAAAGAACATTTATATGTGAATAAAGCCTATCTATTTCATGTATTTATTTTTCGACGTTATCCATTGACACGCAAAAACTCCACTTGGTATGTTATATAAATCTTTACGTTGCACTTTCTCGGACACTCAAACACGCTTCACAGCCTTCACGCCATACACAGTGGTGATTCTACTAATGAAAAAAGCGACACAACCGGTTTGTGACATCATCCCCTCCGACCACCCCCCACTATGCACACACACACACACACACACACACAC